CATGTGAAAATAAACAAAAATAAGACATAAAACAAAAAATAAATATAAGTTAATAAAATAATAATAAAATATTAATTAGGAAGGAAAATAAAAAAATTAAATTATTAATGAAAATACATTTTTTTTTTTTGATAATTAATTAATTAGTAGTATTAAATAGTATATATATAAGAAAATTTATGAGGGTTTTTTATTACTACCACCAAAGAAACTTTTGACTCTAACAAGAAAACTTTTTCTATTATTTTTCTTACCATTAGAAGCCCCTCTATCAGAACTTTCACCATCACCATCAACTTTAGCTTTGACTTCTTCTCCTACTGGAGTATCGGGAAGTGTTTTATCATCAGCTTTTATAACGTTAACAGTATCTTTAGCTGGTGGGTTTTGCTCTTCACCTGTGGTTGTAGTAGTGGCGTCAGTTGTTGGTTTTGGTTCTGGTTCAGAAGGTTTCGTTGATTCAGCAGTGGTGGTTTCAGCGGTAACTGGAGTGGGTTCCTTAATTTCTTTTGTTGCTGTCTCTGTCTCGATTGATTTTTTTGTTTCTTCCACGGTTACTTTTGTTTTTGTCTCTGTTTCGATTGGTTTTTTTGTTTCTTCCACGGTTACTTTTGTTTTTGTCTCTGTTTCGATTGGTTTTTTTGTTGTCTCTGCTTCAGTTGGTTTTGTTGTTGTCTCTGCTTCAGTTGGTTTTGTTGTTGTCTCTGCTTCAGTTGGTTTTGTTGTTGTCTCTGCTTCAGTTGGTTTTGTTTTCTCTTCCTCGGTTGGTTTTGTTGTTACTTCCTCAGTTGGTTTTGCTTCGTCTTTCAAGATTTTAGGAATGTGATCATTACTGGAAGATGTTTGGTCTGCAGTAGTAAGAGTAGAGTTTTCCTGAGGTGTTAATGCTTCTACAGTTGCGACAACTGTTGCTGCTGTTGTTGCTAGGTCAGTCATTTTTTAATTTTTTTGTGAAAAAAATATTAATTTTATTAAAGAAGAAAGATACGGAGAGAATTAAAAAATTGTGTAGTTTTTTAAATAGAATAATTTAATTGAGAGGCTGGAATTTGAAGGAATAATAATTTGAAGGAATAATTTGAAAATAGCAAGCAAGTAGTAAAGGAAATTTCCAAAAAAAAAAATATTTCCACAAAATAATTAAATTAATTAAATAAAAAAAAATTTTTTTTTTTGAGAAA